CATCAATAAAAAAGAAGTAAATTTGCATTCAAGTGAGTTTTTGATAAAAAATGCATATGCTTTATTGGAATTCGTGTTTGCATCCACAATAGCTAAAAGTCTGTTTGGTAAGAAGGTAAATTTGTCTGTACAAAACTAACCCAACTTTGCAATTTATAAAAACCTTTTTACACTCTACATATTTGCATCCACACTTATTTGCATCATTTCCAAACACGGCCAAAAGGGAAGTCTTTACATCAACATATCATCAAATTGGGATTATAACAAACTATGGTTTTAAAAAATGACCCAGAAATGGAACCGTTATAGCCACTGGTTTTCGGGTTGATGGTTTGACCATCCAGTTTGAATGGACAACTTGTTCTAACAAAAAAATTATAAAAAAAATAATTAAAAATAAAAATGGCCAAAACTGTTGAATGGGTCGACGGGTCAACAGTTCGACTACTCGGGTTAATGAACTGTTGACTGATTCAACGGTTTTTGGCCAAGGATTGGATTTGGGGTAAAACAAAACCGGTTACCTGGACAGTTCTCAGGTCGAACGATCTAACTGTTCGAGTCAACGACAGTTTGAAAACCATGTTACAAACCCAACTATTCAATCATCATTTGAACCCATATTCAAGTGCTCTATTTCTCAAAATATTTCAATGAAATGCTAGTAAGAAATTGTGAAGAAAGAGAGGGAGAGAGAGAGAGCCTTTAGATGAAACTGAATTCATTTTAGAATGAAAGTGGAAGGGGATTGGACTGGTGGTTGCTAATTATGCTTCAATGGTCTAAGGAAGAAGATGAATGATGTGGTTTTGGAGTAAATTGTTGTTGAGTCTTTGTAGTTTTAAATAAAAAATATATTACCCATTATTAAAAATGAGAATTGTCAATGGCTCTTTGTTAAATATCCTGATTTTATTTCCAATTTTACCCCCATTAATAATACAAAACAACCAAACTAACATATACCCCATTATTTAATTGATGGAACACCTTATTTTTATTTATAAATCTACCCCTATTAATAAAACAATTTTGTATGGGTTGATAGCCAATCTAGCAAATTCACAGGTTTCTAATTTACTCTTATATAAAAGAGAGACAAGTGTCCTAAAAAATGAATACATGGACTGGTAGTCATGATGTTGGTTAAATTTTTATCATAAATCAATATGGTTGAACAACTCTCACATTACTCTCGGTTGTTTTCATGATATTAAATAGAATCGAATTATCTTGATAAGTTTGAAATTTCTTTTTCAAGGATAAACTTAATTGATAAACTGAATGGGTGTATCTCTCCGTTTTAATAGAAATGTGATCATATTTATAAAAATCCTCCAAATTTGAACCTAAATAGGGTGTAGTATGTTATAGCATTTCAATGTTATTTCGTTTTCTTTGGATACAATTTAGAATCCCAAAATAAAAGTTCACTCAACAAAGTAGTTAGTTTTTTATTTTTTATTTTGTCTAAAATTGCTTTTTTTGTTAATTTGTTTTAGGTGTATAATTGTTTATATGAAGAGAAAGATGATTATACAACCTTATAACTTGCAACTGAGTGACGTAAGCATGAAAATGTATATCTAAAGTGTACTCAACAATTGACATTTGTAAAATAAAGAGTTTAAAAGTAATATTTTTCCATAATAATATTTATAAATGTCAATTTTATTATTTGTGCAATTTTTATGTTGAAATAATTAATAATTGAATGAAGGAAAGCCCAAACATAGGTCCAAGAAACCCAAACCCAAGTTCTATGGCCCAAGTATGAGTGCTGATTCGTTTCTCGTTTTACTCTGAACAGAGTCCAGTATTTTGGGCATATCTTTTTTTACAAATGTCGAAATTCGATGATTCTTGATGTTATGGACAGTTAAGAGATAGAACTATAATTCACCTGTTGATGGCTTTCTCTAAATCGATCTCTATCTTGGCAAAAAATTGGGGGTTAAGACACGGATCCGGGCTGAGTAGATTGAGGAGCATGCCAGCACAACAAAAAGGAAAAATCTAACCTAAAAGGGGGACAATTTTCAGAGGTTATTTAGCATTATTTTTTCAGTCTTTCACAGAGGAGAAGAGGGGAGAATGATGTCCAAGCATGGATAAAGCTTCAACAAAACTAGGGAGGATCTTGATCGATGAGTTTTGCTTGTTATTTTACTCTGATTCCTTGAGAGATTTCAATGTTTAATTTTGTTTTTGAGAGATTTTTGTTTTTATTATTTTGATAAACCTTGAAGTTATATTCTTCAATTTCCATATAAGATTAGTCATGCTCTTTTTATGTGCAATTTATTAGAAAATAATTGATTGGGTAGATTTATTTTATGAGTTGATCAGTGACTACAATACTGTCAATCTGATATGTTGTCATTTTTTGGTAGTTTGTAAGAATAGATCATTCTGTTCTTCATTGAAAATTAATTCTCTTAGAACAAATACTTTTGTTCTTGTCGTTGGTTTCAAAGTTATATTTTCCGATTGTTTGTTTGGGATGTGAAACTTGGAATTGAGTAATAAATAGGAATCAAAGTCGATATCAGTTAAGCAAATCGATCAAGTGAATCTCGAAGCTTTGTTCATCACAAACTACTTTTCATCCTTTAATCATCGTTACTTTTATTCAAATATTTTTGTTCTTATTTTTATTTTTAGAAAATCAAATTTCTAGGTTATTCACTCTTAGTGATAACTCATTTTGTTGGTTTGATAAGCTTTTCTATGGATTCGACACCTAAAGCTACGCTTCAACAACCACTTATCCAATGGTAATAATTTTGGGCGAGACACTGAGATAGTGGTTTGACTCATTACTTTTAAATAGGTTTGGGAAGACTATATTTTTGTTTTGACATAGTCATTTTGGGCCAATCTATAAGGAATGCTTTTGGATGGAAGGAACATTGTTATTTAATTCATAGATCAAACAAGAAAACAAGTAGAGGAGTTTAATTTTTTTTAGGGTAATGAAGAGGAGTTTAAATTGGAGAATGATTGAAGATATTTGAACTTATATTTTCCATTTGTGTTATTTTTTCATGCTCATTGTTAGGTGGAGGTGATGAGTCATTTTGATTATGTTCACTTGCTAGCTTAGTAGCTTTGATTGATTATTGTTCAAATAATGATTATAACGCTAAAGTTGGATTATAAATTCATAGTGAATTTCATTATTATTGTTGCCGGCTTGTTTTTGTGTGTTATTCTTTTGGTTCTTGAAAATCATTTTTTTTTTAAATCATTTCAACTCAAATATGTTATTTTGTCTAAGGATGTTCATTATACGGTTCAAACCGCAAAACTGAACCAAACCAAACCGAATTTGCGATTTAGTTTGGTTTATACCTATAATCGGTTTGATTCGTTTTGAGAATTTTCTAAATTACGGTTTGGTTTATTGAATTTTATAAACTGAACCAAACCGTAAACCGAAATTATATAATATGAATATATGATATATAAAATATCTAAATGGAATACGTAAAATTATAAATATATAATGAACTCTTTATTTTATAATAAAATAATAAATAAAAGTTTTTAAATTTTAATTTTTAGGGGAGCTATTTGAACTTTCTAATTGGGTTAAGCCCAAAAGAATCATAAAATGGTCCAAAGTCTTAAACTATATTAGAAACCACACCAAATCGTAATAAAACAATTTGGTTTTGTTTGGTTTCCATACCAAAACAGTTTGGTTTGATTTAAAAATTTCTCAAACCATAATTTATCAGTTTAGTCTTTCTCCAAATCGCACTGAACCGGACCGTGAACACCCCTAATTTTGACAACAGAAACATAACCCCCACTAGTATTATGAAAATGTGGCAAAAAATTGATTGGATGGTTCATGTGGTAGACGAAAGGATTCATGGGATGCGACTTTATGTAAGGGACCAACCAAACGTGGGCTTCAACATGCCACCTATGGATGTCAACGGGTCGGCATGGGTTTGCCTCAACCCTAATCCGATCCTCTAATGCCCCATTTCGAATTTGACCTGACCTGACTTTAAAATACATGATTTTATAAACCGACTTGACCTATAGGATCTAACCTGATACCAACATGACCCGTAACATTTCAATTTCATGTTTTAAATACATTTTGAAGACATAAAATGTATTAATTCTAGTTATGAAATTGTTTTATAGATTTGAAGGTGTCACTTTTCCATTTAAAAAAAGAAGAAGAAAACCAAAATCAAGATGTAAATAAATCTTTAACTTTAAGGCTATAGAGCTAGAAGTCAAAAAGTTATAAGAATACTTTCTATATATACATGGTATCATGACCTGCCAGAGTGGACAGCCAAAACCCTTACCCCATTCAGGTTGAAGAATTAAAACCCTAACCCAACCCTAGACCGAATATAATTAACCCTTACCCAATCCTAAATCAAATATACTTACCCTAACCCAACCCTATACGATCGTGTCATGCCAGATGTACCATTTAACCCGACCTATTGACAACCCTAATGCCATCTATCCATGTTTTGATGGTGGGCCATGTTGCAAGAACTTGTCTTATATGGTGTGATTGTCATCATCACGATCATTCAAGAGGTTTGAAGCAATGTTTTAAAAATCTACTTGGAGGTTGAATCGCTTTTGCCTCTAGATCGTAGGGCATTGGATTGACCATTTGGGTCAAATAGGTAAGACCATATATATATTATATATATTAATTTTAATTTATATATTTTTATTTTAATTTAAAATTTTATTTATAAAAAATACTAAAAACTGCAATATGAGGCCCAATAAAGGGTTTTTATTTTGATGAAAATAGCAAGCCAAAGGCATATTTGACACATTGGAATAAAAAATTACTTACAATAAAAAAATCATATCAATTCAACATTAGAATGCAAAATTAAATGTGCAACCTGAGACCTGATACCGGGTCGAACGGATCAACGGCGGGTTGAAAATCATGGTTTGAAGGGTAGATAACAATTGACATACGGGGCTTTGATTGTTCAAACAAACTATCATCTCTTGCGTCGACCATCTGAAAATTAGTGTAATAATTAAGACTGACAAGTGGCTAACTGGCTACAGATACAAAAACAGTGCTTATCTCCTACCAAACTCCGTCGGCAACCTTCGACTTCTCGGCTTCAGTCTTCACTTCTTGGGACCTTGCAGTAATGGCGCTGAAATCATTTATTCAAGTTCATTCCGACTCGCATTTCCCTATCCAAAACCTTCCGTATGGCGTTTTCAAGCCCCAACCAGGTGGAGAAGCTCGTCCCGGCGTTGCCATCGGCGACTTTGTATTGGATCTCTCGGCGATCGCTAATGCTGGTCTCTTCGATGGCCCGGTGCTCAAGAACTCTGATTGCTTCGTTCAGGTTCGTCCAACTTCAGTTTCCTTAGCTTAGTCCGGTTTTATGATTGTTCTATTAAGTACAGTGTTTCTTTTTCTCTTTCTTTCTTTCTTTCTTCTGTTTTGATTTGAATTTAGTGGAATTATACGGTGTCTTGAATGCTTGCTTGGTAGCTCAAAATTGGCGATTCTAGTAAGCCGCTTTTACAGTCGTGTAAATTTTCTACTTCTGTTTGTGGGTTTTCGGTATCCTCGGAAGTCATAGTATTGTTATTCGTTGATGCAGCTATTTTCTTTATAAAGTAGAAGGAAAATAACTTTTGGCTACACAAATGGTCTGGTTTCCCTCAAGCCTCAATTCATCTGTCTCTTTACGGGTGTATTTTTACTACTCATCATTTCGTGTTTGTCGCTGATCATAGTAAATTCTGTATCATAGTGTTATTTCCCTTTGTCAAAATTTCGGTTTTCTGGAGGTCAATAAATAAAATAGGATAAAACAAAATAACATGATCTTCTTATGTAATCAGCCTTCTCTAAACAAGTTTCTGGGGATGGGAAGACCTGCGTGGAAGGAAGCTCGCGCGACGATCCAAAAGCTATTGTCATGTAAGCTCTCATTTTCTATTTATAAAATATTTCCTTCTTTTTTTTTTTTTTCTTTCATAATGCCAGGATGTAAGGTTAAGACTTATTGGTGCAAGGGTCTCTAGGTTTGCATGAAAAATAGTGGAAGGTTACCTGTGCAGAAAATTGAAGGGAAAAAGAAATCCTAATCAATTAATGCACAAGCTTATAAAGTAAGACTTGCTTTTCTTGCAACCGGTGATCCATTTTTCTTTTTCCGGATAATGACCTGCAATTCCCATCAAAGTGGCAATGAAACATTAGGAGTTTGTCACGGACAATAGGAAAAGAAATACCATGAACATTTTGAAAATCCTTGTTCAGAAACTTCATATTGTAATATTAACAAGAGTTCTGTATTACTTGTTTTGTGATTCATACATCAAAGGTCACTGAGTTTCTCTGGATGCAGTTGATGAGCCAACATTACGTGACAATGGGAGTTTGAGGGAGAAGGCACTTTTTCCAATGGTATACACCATCTAAGTTCTGGATCTACTATGTAATTTTGCAAGGGTAGTCATGTTTGTATTGCTAACTTTACCTATCATGAACAGAACAAAGTGCAAATGCTTCTGCCTATTGTTATAGGGGATTACACAGACTTCTTTTCCTCCATGCATCATGCGAAGAACTGTGGAACCATATTTCGTGGACCAGAGAACCCAATTCCAGCAAACTGGTAATCTCTCTTTTGAAGTTATATGTGAAATATAAATAATTACTTAAAGGGCGAGTAGGTGCTCTTGCAGAAGATTGGCATTTAAGCTATAGGATGATTAAAACTCCGCATGCTTAATTTGATATCATTTGGGATGTAGTGAAGAAAACAAGAAGTTGACTATTTGACTATACTGTTGAGGTTTATACTCTATATAGACTTCAATTTTGTAGCTATATTCTATCTTATTCACTCTTCTGTTTTATACTTTTTTTTTTTTAATTCTATGAAACTTCTATTTATCATGTCTGAATCTAATCCTTCCTATTAAAGTTGATAGCTAAGCTGTGATTTTCAGGTTCCATCTCCCTATTGCATATCATGGACGAGCATCATCAATTGTTATCTCTGGAACCGATATTATAAGACCCAGGTAGAAAATTTGATCTGGAAGTTTCTTTTTTTGGAAGAAGCTCACCTTGAAATTCCAACCTATCAAATGTTCAGGTCATACTAAAAAATCATTGCCATTACATTTTGAATTACTGCAGTTTCCCATGTATGTCTACTTATCTGATTAAATAGAAAGTCATTACTGACATTCTGCTCTGTAGAGTTAACAAAATGATGTAGCCATTAAATTCTCTGCTTGCCACTTTGTATATGACAAATACCAAGTTTTTGGTACTTTATCCTTTTCCATTAGGTTGCCCTGAATACATAATTAATGGATCATGTCCAAATTAACCTTAGTCTTTCGTGGTGGTTTTTGAAGCCCCAAAGTTTCTAACTTGTTATGAGCCTTTCTTGGAGACTTCGACTCTCCTTGGGTTGTCTGCTTTTTGTTCAAAATTTCTATTATCTATCATATAAAGATACATGGTTTGTTCAACTTATTTCTGAACAATTTTCTTTTCTATCCTGTAATATTTCATATCATATTATTCATTACTCCTATTTTTGCCAGAGGTCAAGGTCATCCAACCGGCAATTCACCACCGTATTTTGGACCTTCTCTGAAGCTGGATTTTGAGCTAGAAATGGTTAGCATTTTATGTTGAATAAAATTGTTGCCTGATCAGTTTTATTTATATCTGAGTGTAGATACGATTCTATAACAGGGGTAGAACCTCATAGTTGATTTTTAATTCTATCTTGTGTCCTTTGGGCACTTTTATGTTAACATTGCCAGCATTTAGAAATTCAACTCATAGGAACCATTTCCTACTGAGTTTTCTTGATATGAGTTGCTTTATTTATTTATTTTTTTATTCCAGGCTGCTGTTATTGGTCCAGGCAATGAGTTAGGAAAGCCTGTGGATGTTAATGAAGCAGCAGATCATATCTTTGGTCTTGTATTAATGAATGATTGGAGTGGTATTTACAGTGTTCTTATTTTGGTTGCAAATTCTTCATTAGGTTTAAGTTTAATTATGGATGTTTTACTGGTTTTGGTTGATTTTGACAGCTAGGGATATCCAGGCATGGGAATATGTGCCACTTGGGCCTTTTCTAGGAAAGAGTTTTGGTGAGAATCTAAATTTCAGTTTTTGTGTTCATATCTTAATTTTGAGGGCCAAAATCCATATTTGTATTGGATGCTGGCAGGTACAACAATATCCCCTTGGATTGTGACCCTGGATGCTTTGGAGCCTTTTGCTTGTGATGCTCCAAAACAGGTAATTCATCACCTTAGTTTTTTCAGAGCCTGGAACCTTTAGAATTTTGTAAATTGACAGTTCTTGCATGAGATTTCTTATGGTAAAGAATGCTATAAATTGCAGGAGCCCATTCCGTTGCCATATCTCACTGAAAAAAAATCCAGGAACTATGACATTTCTCTAGAGGTAGCGTATAGATGCTTCTATGTATTCTTACTCTTGATCAGTAGTTGTATTGTGACTGCCGTCTGGTAGGCCAGGCCATTCTGGACCATCCAATGAGAATGAACTTACATTTCTATCTATACTTTCTGTTTTTTTTTTCTCCATCCTTGTTTTGGGTTTGGGCTTATGTGGTTGAAATGGTTGTAATGTGCTCATTGCCTTGAGCCTTTCTCTTTAATGAATTTTACTGTTGATTAAAAAAAAAAACTTACATTTCTAATATGATGCTGTAGAAATATGCTTTATACATTATAATGATCATGGCCTACTCATTGCCAGGTTGAGATCAAACCTACTGGACAGGAACATTCATCTGTTGTCACAAGGAGTAACTTTAAACACTTGTAAGGATAAATCAGTTACTATTTTTACCTGCATTGCAATTTTATGATACCTTGTTGCACACGAAAATTGAGTAGGACCAACCCCTTATTTTGGTTAGAAATCATTGACCATAATCTTGGATTGGTATAATAGTAAAAATGGTACTCTATGCTGGTATAAGCATAACAAATAGAACTCTATTTTGGTGTAGGCGTAACAGTGGTTATGTATGGTCTCAGATGATTTTTATATGTTATTGTCTTACTCGGCCCTGAAGGAACAAAAATATCCTCTAATTGTCTGAGAGGACTTAGTGAACCCAAAAGAGTGGGATTAGTGGACACTATCGCATAAATAACAATTTATTATATACTAAATATTATGATTTTTAATATTATTTTTAAAATTCATAAAACCATACAAGCATAACAAGTGTGCTATCTGGCCTTCCTACCTATTATCTTTCATTGCTGAAAATCCTATCAGAGGTGGCCATGAGGATAGAGAAGATTCAAAGGGATTTCCTTTGGGAAGGAGTTGGGGGAACCAAGAAGTTTAATCTAGTTAAATGGGACAAGGTGTGCAGGCCAAAGGAAAGGGGTGGGTTGGGCATTAGAAGGCTGAAGATATTCAACAAGGCACTTTTGGAAAAATGACTTTGGAGGATTAGGTTGGAGAGGGAGAGGGATTCTCTTTGGAGGAGGGTGGTGGTAGGGAAATATGTGGTGGTGAGGTTTTGGTGGGAATCAAGGGAGGTGTCTAATCCTTATGGGGTGAGTGTATGGAATGGTATAATGAGGTTTTATCAGGATTTTAGGAGTTTGACCATGTTCAAGGTGGGAGATTGTGCTAGAGTTAGATTTTGGAAGGATCGATGGAGGGGAGTGGGGAAGTTGTGTGAAGTGTGCCTGAGGTTGTATAGGCTGTCTGAACACCAATTAAGGATCGATCAATGCTATGAAGTCATAGGTGATCAGGTGATATAGTGTCCAAGATTTAGAAGACCACTGAGGGATCAAGAACTGGAAGCATGCATTTTGTTTCTGGAAAGATTGGAGCAGTCCAACATTTCAACCTCATCAAGGGATGCCCTATTGTGGAAGGAGAGCAGGGATGGGAAGTTTTCAGTGAAATCCTTCTACTTGGCCCTTATGAGAGATCATGTGACCATGGTACAGGCAGAAGGTTTGTGGAGGAATCCAGTCCCACCAAGGGTGGAAGCTTTTGCAAGGCTAGTTTCCCTGGATAGCATTTTAACAGCAGACTACTTGAATAATAGGGGCTTCAGCATGGCAAGCTTCTGTTATATGTGCGATGGAAGAGGAGACACTACACTATCATTTTTTTTCATGCAAGGTGGCCAATTTCATCCGAAAGTTTTATTCTTCACTCTTCAGGGTCAGAGTTTTTCAGCCAAGCACCACTGCTGAAATCTTTTCATCTTGGCCAAGATTCAAAGGGAGTGAGAAGGCTAGGATAGTCTGGAGCTGCATCCCTTTTGCTGTTTGTTGGACTATCTGGAATAAAAGAAACAGAAGGATATTCGAGAATAATTCCAAGAGTATTGAGTGTCTCATAATTCTCATTTCTTTAGTTGGAAAACTAATGGCAGGTTTTGCTCAAATTGATAGAGTAAATTTGGGGGAAAGCATTTGGGATGTGCTTGAAATTCAAGCCTATAATGCTGAAAATGTCCTTGTTGATTAGAGTATTATTGGTGTGTCACCTTGACACCTACCTAGATTGCAATGCTTCTTTATCTTTTAATGAAATCTTTTATCTTTATCTTTATTCTTCTTCTTCTTCTTCTTCAAAAAAAAAACAGCTTAAATAGTTAAGTTACTTTTATAATTGAAAAGTTAAACTAACAGCCTTTGGCCCTTTGCCTATTTGCCATGTAGCCAGACTAGTTGTTTTTCATGTTTTCCTAATCTCGATGTTAACTGGAAAAGATTTAATACAATGGATCATAAATATGTGTAAAATGGAAAATTAGAGATGCCAGAGTGCCCTATTGGACAGCTTAAATGGTTGGATAATTGTTACATGGAGGGCACATTTATTTTAACACCTTTTGAGAAGGACAAGGCTTTGCTGGATCTGCTTGAGAACAGAGTAGGAGTTGAGGCTTTAAATATCCAAGCTAAACTTGGAAATTTCACAGTATCAAGATGGTGTTCAGGATCAAACTCCAAAGATTTCTTTGTAGAAGATGGAGTGTTGGTGTGTCTTTTAGGTCTTCCCTTTCACTTGTGGAAGCAAGAAACTGCTGAAGCCATTGCTTTGATGTGTGGAGGATCACTAGGAGGTGCCTTTTGGGGAAACCTTCGTTCAGCTTCCATTTTATGAATGGAGTAAAACCTGAGGAGATTCCTCGGAAGATAGAGGTGCTAGTCGAAGGGCATTGCTACTCAGTGTGGCTGGCTTCATCCACTGAATCGATGAAGAGGCTCGTAGGGAGGGAGATGAGAAGGTTGAAGAAGAAGAGCTGCGTGGCAAGAAAGGATTGGAGGATTCAAACAAGAAAAGCACTTTCACTAAAATGGAAAAACATTTGCAGGCAGGGGGTGGGTTTTTTTGCGTGTGGAAGCAGTGAACAGTCTGGAGGGTGGTAGGTCCTTTGCACAGGTTGTAACCTGCGCCAAGACTTTTTTGAACAAGGAAAAGGGGTTGGTTCAAGGAAGAACCGAACATAGACCTGTTAAAACCAAACCGGGGCCGGGGTTGGACGTGCGTGACCTTCTTAAAAGTCACGTGAGCTCGCAGGTGTTTAAGAATGGGCCAAAGCAAAAGCCCATGTGGGCTGCTAATGGTATTTTTAAAGGCCCAAACAGGTCAGCGGGCCCGACCCAGCTTGTTAAAAAGGCGCGTGAGCCTCTAATGAAACACGTGACTGGGGTTTCGACTATGATAGACATCGGTTATGGTCTATCATCGTCCCCAGCCGCGAGCCAAAGGGGGGAATGCGCGCAGTGCCGGAAACCAGAAAAGAAGAGGGCGTTACAGTGGGTTTCCCGACGAAGTCTGAAGGAGCTTAGCCCCGTGCGAGGCTTCCCAGAGAGGCCGAAGCCAAGTTTCACTAGGGGAAGAACTGAAGAGAAGAAGAGAAGTTTGAAGGATGGGTGCAGTGCGGTGAAGGCGATGATGAATCGGAGGACCTTTCTGTTGATGGCTCTAGCGTGGGCAGTGTAAATGATGAAGGCAGCTGTGCTGGAGGTGATATGGAAGGGTGGAATATT